CGGCGTGTACTGGATCAACACTGTACCAAAAATCGTCGATAAACATTCGCCATGTCGTGATATCATCAATAAGGGACTTATAATATCGATTATTCTCTTCACGTAGTATTCAACATTTTCTGAAAAATACGGATAGACGGAGTTACTGTACTGAGAGCGTTGCAAAGACCTTTGAAAGTCGATTCAGTAAAATCTTTAAATTCTTGTTGACGCCACGATTACGACTGAACAAGCTTACTTCTTGCAACGTTCTTCTTTCAGTACGAGATTACAGGTGAAATTCCTTCGACGAGAAAGTGTCGAGAAAGTCGTGGCAATATTGCGAAGAGACCGTCGCAAGCGTCAAATTATCCTTAGAATTACGGTGCGTCACGAATTTCGATCGCGTCTGAAATTCCGTACAGGGTTGTGCCAATACAAACTCAACCAAAAAATCAGTCGAAGTCGGGTGAAATACGCAAATATTGAAATTAACGAAGTACAGCTTTGAATCTACCATTAAAAACACGACACATTCACAACCTGCAAAGGCGATCCCATTTCCTGTTATCGATGACAGATCGGCTTCAATGTACCACCAATTGCCTGTCGATCCGCTGCTCTTAATATTAAATGGAATATCGTATTAAATACTGAGCACTCATATATATTGACTAAAGTGTTTCTGCATCGGAACACGCGGTCGACAGGTATCTCTCACTCTTTGCTGCGCCGTCGTTGCAAAATTTCAATGGATCACATTCGAAACTGTCTCTCGGCGTCGCAAATACAGCGACCCCGTAAAACGCTGCTTTTCACGTGAAATCCCTTCGAGTTCCTGGCTCGAAGCGTTCTCGCAGCCTACCAATTTGATTCGGCTAACTTCGACAATGCTGGAAGACACCATTGTAATGCCTCCAACCGCAATCCATGAATCACTGCTCCGCAGGTAATAGATGACGTGTCGATCGCTTGAAACAAGCATGATAGTTCGTACCCACCAAGAATATTGATTTCCAAAGCCAGTTGGTAGGGCTCCAAGACCGCCGCGTTATTTGTTCCACCGAGATTAAGTGATAAATCAATTTCAACGTCGGAGGATCGAGTGCACGTGCGCCGAGCACAAATTCTAGCTGAATATTCCCGATTCGCGTAAATCGTTTCCTCGTCAAAAAAGATTCTAGTTTCTCGTCTATCTAGTCAACTTTCCGTAAACAACCGAATCATTGTAGTGTTCGATTGAAAGTCACGAGGATGGTTTTCGAATAAAAGGCTCCTCCGATAATTGACAAATCATTAGAAAGTTATAGTACGCTAACAGCAGCAAGGCTTCGATGCAGAAAGGATGAACGAAGATCTAGAACTTGTTGCTCGAGCATGCACTCAAACTTCCGAGCGAACAATCCCAGGAAGTTCTCGCAACCTGGCTCGAAGCTATTCGAATCGTCCGCATCATTGCAGTATCCGGAGCTTTATAAGAGGTTCGAGGATGCGCCAGCGTCGTCGTACAAGAATAAACCGTTCAAGTTACAAGTTAACGTCTTCGAATTTCTGATAAAGTCCGTTGCAATGCTGCCGAAGCCTCGGGATCGTATCGAACAATCGAAGCAACAATAAATCACAGCTTTAACACGCTCCGTGCCACGTGTACCGCCGCTGGTGCACGCTTGAATATTTATTTAACGCTCCGAAAAGATGTACTTTATAATACGTTCAAGCCTGATGAATACGCTTCCATCAAAAGAATGAGACGTTACAAAAATGCGGCGCGGCACGAAGCAAATAAACTCGTTTAATGATTCGTAATTACATGCAATATATCGATCGAAATGTCAAATGTCCTGAGCGAAAAGTTGAGAAAAGACGGTTTGGCACGGAACGTGTTAATTAATGTTCGAATAGCCTTTGATACGGTAGCGCGCGCACAAGTCGAACCGATCGGATCTCTCGAGAGGAATGGGATTCCCTTTGCGCCGTCAAACAACGAAATCGAGCCGCTGTGCTTCCGTTGACGGATAAACCCGACGTGGGCGCTTCTCGCAGACAGATTGCTAATGGTTTGGCCATGGCGTGCGGTCGGAGAGCAAGAGATTACTCGAGAACCAGGCTTCGGCGATCGCTCGAAATCGCGGAACACCGTCGCGTCGTCGGAGCCGATTCCGTGAGGAACTCGGGGCCGTCGCGTCGTCGCGTCGGCAGAAACGGCGGGAGCTCCTTGTCGCGGAAAGAGCCCTTCGGGAAACGTTCCTCCTTAGGGGATCGCGCTTGGCCAGGTTTGCGCGGCTCGAAGGCGACACGACTTAAAAAAGTAAATATACATTAACAGCCTCGAGTTCCTTCGAATCCCATCGCAAGCCTGGGATCCCGTGCAAAAAGGGAAGAGGAGGACGTGTCCCGTTTCGTTCGCCGCGAGATATCTGCTGACGGATCGTGGATATTCCGAGGATCCGGAAGCCTTTAAGAAACGTTAGATCGAAGAAGTATTTGCGAGTAACTGTGTAGTTCGCGTAATTCGTGTGTACGTGTGTATGTATGTACGTGTTCGTCTGTATCCGCGTGTGTTTGTCGAGTGTGTGCCCGCGTGTCCGTGTGGTATGCGTGTGTACGCGTGTACGCGCGACCGAGCACGTGTGTTTGTAGGTGTCAAGGTTGTGTCGGTGAGAGAGAGTGTGTACCTTGTGTGCGTTTCGTACAAGCGTGTACAGAGGGACAACAACGAACGATGTCCGCCGATAGAAGGGAAAGAAACCCGTTTAAGAAAATGAAGAAAGATGCTGCGCTAAAATCAATCGTCACCGTGATCATCCCCATTCGTCTGCACCCCCAACACCCCCGCGTCTTTCACTGTCATA